TTATCGACCAAATTGGCGATTTATTGAAAACGGGCCAAATTAGGAGTACCCTTAACCGACGAGCATGTATGCGTAAGTGTATGGATGTGAAGGAGGCGAGAGAGGTGTGTCAGGATCGTGCCAAATGGAAGTCTATAGTCTCTGCCTACCCCTCTGGGTGACAGGCGTGAGTGTTTATGTATGTATGTTTGGTTAGGGAGCAACAGCATTACATGGCGGCAACAAATTCTTCCTACATCGAGAGATGCTCATATCCAGTGGTGGACTATTAATGTATCGCTGACCGAATTTCGGTCACGACGGCCAGTTTCATCGGAGACGTACCCATCTGCGTAGGACAGGATTTTAATGCACAAGTGTGTGCGCAAGCACATGTGCAATCTCTATTACTTCACTCTCATAGTCCCATAGGATGGTAGCCCGACAAGACTGGAGTGCGATTAGGTGCAGGACCAATGGTTTTACGAGCTTTTCAGGGTCAAGCACCTCCAATTTCCTATCCGAGCTGCTACTAAGAATTTCTTGAGAGAAAAACCCAATAAACTGATTTAGGCTCAACTTAGGATTCGAACCCAGAACAGGAGCAGCGTTTACGACCACTAGACCAACAGCATCTTCCTACAACAGGAGATCTATGTCCATCAGTTGGCTTTTACGGGCTCTCCTGTAAGCCGTATCTCTTGTAGTGGCGGTGTAATAATATCCACTACTATATATCGTCCCGTGAGTCTAGTAAGAGACGACAGAGGGAAACGGAAACAGATGAGGCAGCAGCATCTTTGTGATTACAACCCTAAATTCTCTCTAAAAAAAGTGCTGTGGTGGCCCGCCTTACTTATAATTGTCAGTTGATGTAGATGAGTATGATGCGAGGATTAAACGGGCGGCAAAGAAAAATGTCTGTATTAGATGTTGTAACATTCCCAGAAATTCTTCAAGAATCCGATAATTTATTAAAGTGGCGAAAAATGTAGTGAATTATAAATAGCGGATAACACTTGACGTGGAATCACAGAGATTCAATATTAGATTAAAAAATTCAAACATTTAAAAATAGAACTTTATAAATAACAGTTTACATTCAGGTAGATTACATTCTTAAAGAAAAAAAAAACAAATTACTTTTATTTTTTATTCGTCAAACAAGTTTTCCGCTCACGTGCCCAGCTCATCGTTTAATTCTTATAATGAACGCTGTAGTAACTTCAGTGGAATGATAAGTTAGATGAATTATTAATAAGATAACATCACCCTCTTTGCCCTCATTGTTTCCTCGATTCTAAGAAAGTATTCACGGCCATGTTTTATATGATTGCTGTAGCTTAATTCATTGCTATTATTAGATGATGTGATCATGCTTACAAAATACCTAGACCTGTGGTGAGCAGCAAGTATATGTGACAAGAAGTATAAACATCGATCTCCATTTTTTATAGAGTAAGGGTGACAAATAAGCACACAGTACACCTGATGGTGAGTGGATGCTATGGTCCATAAACATCTACTACGTCTACTTTCGATTAAGAATCAAAATGCAGATGCATTGTGAACCCTGAGGTTCTCTACACCCAACGCCACCGTACGAAACACAGTAACATTGAACTGCTGTTTTACGCTGATATTCTGTGAAAGCGTGGCCCTTCCCCGGTCGAGCCAAACTATTTGTGCTACAAACATAACCGCAGTTCTACCACGTGTTGCCTACCAAGGGGCAATGGGTTTAACGCCAGCTGTGATTTTTATGGGCTGATATTGATGAACATACTTTGTGCTTTTAGTTCTCAGGAAGGCCATGAACATTTGGTCTTCTTAATTTATAATAGTCTTCAGATATCTAGGGCTACTGTGGCTACAAACGTGACATAAAGAACAGATCGACAATAGAATTTTATATTTGCAGGTTTTTCACTCCGAGTTAGTTAATGAAAATCATTATGCATCCTGTAAGCCTGTAGAACTAGAAGTCAAGATTCTTAAAGAACCATGACTTTATATTATCATTACAGCTCATTACAAGTCCACTACTGAATGATGGCTTCCCACTAGAAATGCCACAAAACACGGTCCTGAAGCAGATCTTACTGCGTCGTTACTCCATCTGAGAAGGGGCTGCCATTCACTTCACTTACCAGTACAATGCTGCCACTCAAAAAAAAATCTCCCCCATCGGTTGTAAGTTCTTCGAGCTATATGGCAGACCCATTACTAGTTCAGCTTACTGATGCGTTGGACTAAGTCGTTTACTCTAGTACTATCTAACGTAGAGAATTTCATTACGTGTCTATCACGCAAAAAAACTCCAACCAAAATCATCTTCATATATTGATGATTGTATTTAAGAATACTCACATGGCTAGAATTTGTTTTACTTTGGTGCCCATGTATCAAGATTAAATATAGTCGACTGCTTTTACAATTTGAAAGGATTTTGGATCAATGCCAAGCACGTACTCTTAAATTTTTGATTTTAGAATTGAAATGTGGATTTATTGAGAGCGCTACGGTAAAGGAAAATACGAGGAAACGTGCACTTTGAACTATGTAACATAATATATATATACGAGGGTGGATTGAAAAGTACTCGGCCTAACACAGATCCATTCAATTCTAAAAATCAAATCTAACCACATTATTTAGTTCAGTTCAGACTAGTTCATTGTGTGAAGTTCGAAACGTGTGCGATAATTAGTTGTGATTTTATAAATTTATTAACAAAGTAATCGGACATAATTTCCGCGAATGGAGCAAATCGAGCAGCGTGCCGTCATTAAGTACCTCCATAAGAAGGGGCTATCATCAAAAGCCATCCATGATGACATGGTCAGTACATTAGGCGATTGTGCTCTGTCATATTCATCCGTCAAAAAATGGATAGCAGAATTTAAGCGTGGTAGAGAGAGTGTGAAAGATGAACCCCGCTCTGGAAGGCCTTCGACGTCAACTACTGACGAAAATATTAAATAAAATCCGGCCAAGAGCGTGTCGGGCCACGCTCAGTGTAGGGTTCCGTAGTTTCCCGTCCGTCACAATAAGTGTTCCCATTTATGAGGTATCCATTATGTTCGCGCTCCAGTAGCGCTCCGCGCTCCTGCAACTGCTCCCGGTAGTGGGTACGTGCGCGAACATGGAGCGTGCTACATTGCACGCTCCGCGGCAGGCGCTCCGACTTTCCATCCAAGTTCAAAATGATTTTCCTAGAAAGTCCTTATAAAGTTCTACTTTTCAGATTTTTTTCATATTTTCTAAACTTATGGTTCAAAAGTTAGAGGGGGGGGACACATTGTTTTTTACTTTTGGAGCGATTATTTCCGAAATTATTGACATTATCAAAAAATGATCTTAGTCAACCCCTATTCATTTTTAAATACCTTTCCAACAATATATCACACGTTAGGGTTGAAATTAAAAAAAAATCACTTCCCACTTTGCATATGGGGGGCTACCCTAATAAAACATTTTTTTCCAATTTTTATTTTACCACTTTGTCGGCGTGATTGATACACATATTGGTACCAAATTTCAGCTTTCTAGTGCTAACGTTCACAGAGATTAAGCGAGGACGGACAGACGGACAGACAGACATGGCGAAACTATAAGGGTTCCTAGTTGACTACGGAACCCTAAAAAAGTACTCGATTTAATAATGGGAGACCGCAGATTAAAAATTAGAGAGATAGCCGAGATTATAGGCATCTCTTATGAACGAACTCAAAACATCATTGTCAACGAGTTGGGTTTCCACAAGGTGTCTGCGAGGTGGGTTCCGCAACTGCTTTCAGTTGAACAAAAAAGGACGCGATTGACTATTTCACGCGACTGTTTGGAGTTATTTGAAGCCGATGCAGATGATTTTTTGAATCGTTTTGTTACTATGGACGAAACATGGATTCATTACTGTACACTGGAAACAAAACAACAATCAAAACAGTGGAGGTGACCTGGTTCACCACCCCCTAAAAAGGCTAAGTCGATTTTGTCGGCAAATAAGGTGATGGCTTCAGTATTGTGGGACTCGAAAGGTGTGATTATGATTGATTATCTTGAAAGGGGTCAGACTATAAACTCTGATTACTACTGCACCTTACTACGTCGTTTACGAGAGGAAATAAAAGAAAAACGTCGAGGAATGCTCAGAAGAAAAGTCCTGTTTCATCAAGATAACGCCCGTGTTCACACGTCAGTACAGTCAATGGCTGAAATTCACAACTGTGGCTTTGAACTGTTACCGCATCCGCCGTATTTACCTGATCTGGCACCATCAGACTTCTTTCTGTTCCCTAACCTAAAAAAGCACTTGGGAGGTCAAAGATTTTCGACAAACGACGAGGTCAAAGCAGCTGTAGACGCATATTTTGACTCTAAGGAAGAATCATTTTTTTTCAACGGTCTAAATGCTTGGAAAGGGAGGTGGCAAAAGTGTATTGAACTTGATGGTGATTATGTAGAAAAATAAAAATATAAGTGATTTAGTATGTGTTTATTTTCTTGGTTAGGCCGAGTACTAATCCACCCTCGTATATATATATATATATATATATATATATATATATATGTATATATATATCCCTCTATTTTGTTACCTGCTATAGTCGCTGTAGTAAACTAATCTGAAGTTTTGAGAACTACGCTCGCTGTATATATAATAGAACGCGAGTAACCCGGGTTCGTTCCCCGCCGGCACTAATGAAATTGTTAATTGCAATTTTAAGTGCTGATTTACCACGTGCTCGGCGGTGAAGGAAAACATCGTGAGGAAACCTGCATGTCTGAGGAATAAGAAAAAAAATATTTTCTAAGACATGTGAAGTTCGCCAATACGAATTGGGGCAGCGCGGCGGACACTACCTTGCCCTAAACTCTCTGAGAAATGAGGGGAGGCCTGAGCCCAGCAGTGGGACGTATATAGGCTGTAACTTTACTTTTAACTTTTTTACCTGTAAATTTACTTTTATTTAATTTATTTCTTTGTTTATGTACTGAAAACAGTACAAAATGGTCAATTAAATGTATATACATTGGCAAACTCTGGTAGAAACCTTTGCTAACCTTATAAAACTCCTTGTGGTAACCCCAGGGTTACCGAATGCTACCGTATGGGTTGTCACCATACGGTAGCATTCGGATTCCGGCGGCCGCGGCCCGGCAGCGGTGACTCGGCCGTCGCGACTCTGTCGCTTCCGCACCGCTTTGTAGGGATTTGTATGGAACACTTTCCGAAGCACGCGACAAGGGGGCGTGGTGGGCGCACGACGCCGGCAGCGCTGCCGATCCGCTCCGGAGGCAGTGTGGCAGCGCTGCCGGCATTTTTTATTTATGTTTAGGATTTGATAGCTGCCTTTCTCATATCTTGATGTATATAATGAATCTATTTTATTTCTATTTGATGAGAGTAAGAACAACATTATTCCATCATCCTCTTCTTCATCCTCTATAAGTCGCTTTAGGAGTTCTTGTTTCGTTTTATTTGAGTTATCAGACATAGTTCTGATACGCAAAATACGACCGAACACACACCAGACTTTTCTTCACTACTGCACGTGGCAGTCGCGGCTGCGGTCGCTACTATTCGAAAGGACGTTGCTGCGCCGCACAACTGCGGCAGTGGGTCGCGGCAGCTTGTTGCGGCTGCAGAGCCGCGGCCGCTGTGATCCGAATGCTACCTTTAAATCCGTTAGAATTATGACAAACACATAGTATTTTTTTAGCGCATAGTCGAAAGTTAAGAAATCTTATTAGATTAGATTTGAGTCAATTTCTTTATAGAATAAGGATGACAAACGAGCACACAATCCACCTGATGGTAAGTGGATGCTGTGCTGTGTTACTAACTCTCGAAAGGACCAATCCGGGAGAATTTTATGCAATCGAATACGGGGCGGGGAGGGGGGAGGGGGGAGGATAATGAAAGAAAATCTGAATCATTTATTAATTTTTAAATTTATATTTACTATGCTTTGCCAGCGAGCAACGGATGCACATAATTTTTAGAAAAACCGGAGAAATTATTGCACTCCGGGAGGTCGGGAGATTAACCATTATTACCGGAGTCTCCCGCGCAATCCGGGAGGGTTGGGAACCCTAGCTGCGGCCCATAGACACCTACATTTATTCTCGATAAAGAATCAAAATTTATATGCGTTGTCAGCCCTGAGGACTAAGATAGAGTGCCGCGTTACCAGAAAAAAGGGTCTCTGGTTCTTTACACTCACCATACGAAACACAGCACCATTTAGCTACTATTTTTAATGCTTGAATAGTTAAACGCTAGACCCATTGATGATCACAAGTCTCCTGTTATTTCTGACAGAGTATGGAGCAAATGATCCGCCATGTTGCTCCAGTCTGTGTTGGCGAATTTCACATGTCTTCGAAATATTTTTGTTTCCGGATTGCTCACATACTGTGAAATTTACGGCAAGTGTTATATCTGAAGGTCCTCTTGATAAAATATTTGAACAAACGTGTCATAACTCATAACCACCTGGTACGCCCACATGCATAGCTTTGTGTACATGAACAGTGCCGTTGGAAGTGTTTGTCGTTCCACTTTTTATAGGATAGGGTAACAAACGAGCACACAGTCCACCTGATGGTAAGTAGTTGCTGTGGCCCATAGACATCTACATCTGTTCTCAAATACGAATCAAAATGCCGATGCGTTCTCACCCGTAAGGACTAAGATGGAATAGATATAATAAAGGAATGCCTCGTTTCCAGCAAAATGAGTCTCCGGTTCTCTACATTCACTATACGAAACACAGTAGCGTTAAGCTGCTATTTTACGCATGTATTCTGTGTGATAGATACATAAGATTTAACATCTTATGTCCTCCATGTTTTTTTTATTGCAAATAGTATTTCTATTTCTTAGATCTTAGGGAAACTTATAACGTCGCCCAAAACAAGTGATGTGTCTATTGAAATTCGGGCGGGGCAGGGTATATATAAGTCAGATGGGCCATTCTGTTCGAAGCATAGACTAAAGATTGATATTCTGTGAGAGCGTGGTTCTTCGAGTATAGCGGCTCTACCACGTGAAAACGTGTCTACTGAAATCGCATCAGGATGAGGTAAGTCAGATGGTGGGAAAAAGCGACGTAGTGAAGCGTAGACTAAAGTTTTTTTTAGACTTATCCCGAGAAAAACAATTGATACTAGTCATAGAAAAACATGATAGAAAAACCTATATTTATCACTTTACTCATTTAAACTAACTTATTATTGAATCCCATCGTAGTTCCAGATCAAATAAGCTTTTAAGTGTTGTAATTATTGTTAGTGGTTTATGAAATTATTAGAATTCTCGTTAAATAACACCGAATTATTTAGGTCATCACTCATATTACTTTAGAGTTTCCTGCTTAAACAACAACCTACCTACTTGTTATAAACAATATAAAAGTCCTATTGTAAACCTGTCATTTGAAACTAATTAAACAATAAATTAACAAACATACAAACACACAATCATCAGATCTTATAAACGAGCCAGCACCGCCTCAAGTTCGTTTCGTCGATTCTCAAATAACATCATATTGTTTTTGAATATTCTACGGGTCAGGATTCTGAGAAGCTTGTGGTATTCAAACAAAACGTATTATAATGACCGCCATGTATAAATAAACTAACTTGAATGTAATGTAGATTGTGTATAGCCTCTAGAGGATATTTTTAACTGTTTGTTTTAAAAATATTTTTTCAAAGAGAAAATTACATAATTCGCTTAAGACTAAAGACATCACGTCGAATTATTATGTAAAGTAGGCTTAGAGATTTTGGGGGTACACTCACACCCTTCATAAAGTATTTTTTAAAGTTAATTGAACTTGTTTGGATTTCATTTTATTTTATGAATTGAATCTACGAGGATATTATTTAGAATGTTAGGCAGAATGTGTCCCCATACGCTCCTATCATAATCATTGTTCATTTTGATAGATTGTAAAAGGTAAGTAAGACTGTTTTCTTAACTATCTGTAGAGTGTAAATCCTAGACTTGATGATAGATGATATAAATGATAGATAAGTTAGAATGATATGATATTAGAATGATAAGGAAAATTCACAGAATACCAGCGTAATATAATAGCGTAATGATGCTGTGTTTCGTATGGTGAGTGTAGAGAACCGGAGACCCTTTTTATTGGAAACGAGGCATTCGATCTTAGTCCTCATGGATGACAACGCACCTGCATTTTGTTTCTTAATCGATGATAGATGTAGATGTCTATGGGTCACAGCAACCATTTACCATCAAGTCGACTGTGTGCTCGATTACGAATGAAAATGCAAATACGTTTTCACCCGTGAGGACTAGGATGGAATGCTTCGTTTCCAGTAAAAAGGCTCTCCGGTCCTCTACACTTACCATACGAAACACAGCAGCGTTAAGCTGCTATTTTACGCTGGTATTCTGTGAGAGCGTGGTCCTTCCTACCCCGGTCGAGCCGAACCATTCATACTACAACTATACTACTAATATAGCAGCATCATGGCACTACCACGTAAAAAATATTTGTCACTTATTTCGTTCTTACGAACAGAGACTTCAATTTTATTAATTATTGATATCTAAAGATAAAGTAGGTGCCTCCACCGATTCAATAATTGTGTGGAATTTATTTCGAACTCGAACACTTATAATCGAGAATACGTTACCAGACGAATGCTTTCATTAGCATTTTAATTCCACGTATGACTAACAAACGTCTAGCTTCTAGGTTTGCTACTAGGGTTGCCAGATGGTCGAGATTCGTCTGGATTCTCCCGACACGAATTAATTTCAATTAAATTTTTTAAATGATCTCCAGACTCCCGACGAAACTCAAAAATTCCAACAAACAGCTTCTCTTCATATCACAGCTGCGTTTGATTTAATAAAAGCTGAGTTAGTAATTAGACTGAACTTTGAATTTAAAATCTTTTCTGAATACTAATAAAGGATCACAATTAGTGGACTCAGTAAAGTCCAATGCCAAATACATGTAGCAACCTAAAACCTACGTGTACTTATATTAGTTATGTGTCACCAATGTTGACTTTTTGTCGCTTATTTGTCTAAAAAGGTGAACCAAGTTTTCTCTATATTTATTTCTAATAAAATACAGTGCACTCATTTACATGAGAAACTTAACTTAGCAGACATATTTATACCATTATTAGACACATTATTACGACTGGGGCCATTTTTTTGTCTATTGGGGGTGTAGTGTTTTCGAAGTGAATGGCGGAACCCCGCTGGAGGAAGTGACAACCTAATAAAAATGCAGTAAACCGATGGACTCGGATGGCTCATTACCGATATTCCTTGTAAGCATATTTTCAAAAGTGGACTTTTATGCCAGTATGATATTTCATCTGAAATATCATACTAGCATCAAAATTTACAAAATTTACAGCGAGCGCTAACCAGCGCTTAATGCTTGTGTAAATTACACAATACGCGAGTAATCCGGATTTGATTTCCGCCGGCACCAATGAAATTGTTAGTTGCAATTTTAAGTGCTGATTTACCGTGTGCTCTGCGGTAATCGAAAACATCGTGAGGAAACCTGCGCATGTCTGAGAACTAAGAAAAAAATATTTTGAAGACATGTAAAATTCGTCAACACACATTGGGATACGCAGCGCGATGAACAATTCCTTGCCCTATAACCCTTTCAGAAATAAGCGGGAGGCATGTGCCCTGAGTGGGACGTATATAGGCTGTAAGTTTTATGATAATGATGAAAACGAAAGATTTATTTGATAGAACGTTACCTAAAATAATATATTTTGGATGAAGAAAATTAAAATAAAATGAATGAGGAAAAATGTCGCAGTATACTTAATACTACGACATTTTTCCTTTTAAGTTGTATTCAATACCGATAGCTGTATGAGCGTAATCTTAGAACTGAGAAAGTTTCAAATTAAGGGCGGTTTCCAGAAAAAACATTGAAAATTTTTATTATTGAGATTTCTCAAAATCTACCCGTCTGAATTAGTTAAAATTCATAGGAAATCTAAGTTTGATGAAACACTTCGGAACAACTTAGTTCATCTCAATCGGTCAAGCCGTTCAAAAGTTATAAGAGGTTTACATACATCCACACATACGTACAGACATACAGATACCATCGAAAAATTGTCAGGGTGGCTTCCTGTGACCTCAAAATGTCAAGATTTGATGAAAACTCAAAATTCGAAAAACAAGGTAAAAATATTGTTTTTACCTTCATACTTTTTCCCGATTTTTGAAAATTTTCAATTTTCTTAGCGAGAAGTTAAAGAAAAACAGAATTCATAGTAGACTTGCCAATCATGCTGGTCACCCTAACCTACAACATAGATTGTATTTTCATTTACACAAAAGTAGTTTAACTCGCGGCGCCATCTGTTCGATGGAACGTAATTGTAGGAAATCCATTATCAGTGTTCATTTAAATAAATAGAGAAAACATTCCTAGACCGCGATCGCCACAACTAACCGGTAGTAATA